TCTCTTCAATATGCCAGTTTTGTAGTGACGTTGCTGTGGCTGATAAATTGCCTGGGATCCCTTAGGCAAGAGCTACAGCACTGTGAGGAGGGCAGAGCTTTGCTTTGTGGTTTACAGAAAGGAGATGCAGTTTTGTTCACTTGTTTGTCATCATACCTAATGTTTACAAAACCTTTGGTTGCAGTTGAGTTGTGGGTTTGCTGCCCAAGATGGGGGATAATCCTTAGGTGTGAAAGAGGAGTGCCAGACAGATGTGTAGGTAGGGAGGAGAGCACATTCACACTCCACGTGTGCATGTGTGAGCAGAAACATTCATTGCTGCCAACTCCCTAAATGTTTCATTTGGAGATGTGTGCTTCCACAGCTGGCTTGTGTTTAAATGCAGCAAATGTTACTTTTCACTTGTAATTACTCTCCTTTTTTCAGTTCCAACTTCGATCTTGTAAGAAAGATTGAAAGTCTCTTCAGAGGAAAGGTGGCCTTTTTTATGGCTTTGAACAAACTAACCACAGACATTTGAAATTAGGAAATGGAAACTACAAATCACTAAAACCTTAGGGGAGAAGAAGCTGTAACTTGGGGAAAAAGCTAACCTGCCCTCCTTTTATTGTCTCTAGAAAGAACAGAACAGAAGGAAAAAAAACCTCTCACAGAGCAGAAATTGGCCAAGTGCTTGTGTGGAATGTGACCTGGTATCTTTAAAGTATGAAGTGGGAAGAAGCAGGCAGAGAACAGCCCCTAATGAGCTCGGGGTGGCTCTGCCATTCCTGGCCTTTGTGGCTGCGTTTCCCAAGCCCTGCTGGCTGAGATATGGCAGGAATTAAAGGATCCAGTGAAGGATGGGTGTGCAACTGCATTTCCCACAGCCTTGGTGAGGTCTGAGCAACCAGGGGCTTGAAATAAACATTTGGTTGAAAAATTCCTCAGCCCCGTGAGCTGAATGTACTCATCTCCTGTGCTGCAGCAGAGGCCTGCAGGTAGTTTGATTCCATACAAAACAGTGTTTCAGTTAAAGGCTTTTGTTCAGTATCACTGTGTTTGCCCTTAGTTTGGATTATTGTGGTGCCACGTGTTGGTCTTTTCTCCTGTGTGATGCCAGTTCATCTTCCTTGGTAAGGAAAGGCCTTGTGATGAATCATTTCACTGAGCAGCTCGAGGTTTTGGGCCAGGGGAGAGAGTTGTGGGTGTTTTTCCAGCACATCTGAACTGTGTGCATGAGTTAGGGACTGCAGATTTTATTAGCCTGGGTATGTTTTGTAGTCTTTTGTATTTCTTTAGCACTCCACCACAATCATAGTTCTGTTCTTTTTATGTGGAGTCTGGAACTTTGTTCTTGCATCAGCTTTGGGAGCTCTTGTGGCGGTGGATGTTTTGGATCCCAGAATGAAGCTGGAAAGTAGCACGAGATTGGTGGTGAGCTGCTCCATCGTGAGCCACCAGCAGAATCACAGAGAAGTTGTTATTATTTAGTCTAAAACCCTAAAGTCATGAGATGTTCTCCTTTTGGCCACCAGTGAAAGATGCAGCAGAGGAACATGCCCCATGAACTCTGGTTCCCCACATCCAGCAATCAGATTAGAGATGACTAAGAGCTCTGGGCAGTTCTCTGCAGGCAGGGACAGGCAGTGCAGGGCAAGGCCCAGTTCCCACTGCAGAGCAAACAGAACCCAGGTGCTGAGCTGTGTGTGCAGAACAGGGCTGTGTGTGTGTGCAGAACAGGGCTGTGTGTGCAGAGCAGGACTGTGTGTGCAGAGCAGGACTGTGTGTGCAGAACAGGGCTGTGTGTGCAGAACAGGGCTGTGTGTGCAGAGCAGGGCTGTGTGTGTGTGTCAGAACAGGGCTGTGTATGTGCAGAACAGGGCTGTGTGTGTGTGCAGAACAGGGCTGTGTGTGTGTACAGAACAGGGCTGTGTGTGTGTGCAGAACAGGGCTGTGTGTGTGTGCAGAACAGGGCTGTGTGTGTGTGTCAGAACAGGGCTGTGTGTGCAGAACAGGGCTGTGTGTGCAGAACAGGGCTGTGTGTGCAGAGCAGGGCTGTGTGTGTGTGTCAGAACAGGGCTGTGTATGTGCAGAACAGGGCTGTGTGTGTGTGCAGAACAGGGCTGTGTGTGTGTGTCAGAACAGGGCTGTGTGTGTGCAGAACAGGGCTGTGTG